ACTGGCTTGGTGAATTAAATTATAAAGATCAACTAAATATTGAAACCATAAAACCTTTTAAAATCTGGCCAACTGTAAATGATCATTTACTAAGATTTTGCCATGCAAATATTAGTTGAAGGGATCTGCCTGATCTTTCCTGTCATTGAATGATCTTGTGCATCATGCTCATTTTTCCTTTAGAGTTATGCTAAAAGGGAGGGATTATATTCACACCCATGTTGGAAATGCTTCCTGCAATTTAAGGGAGTCGAGATCATTCCGCACACCTTCATAAATCATTTTCACCTATTTAAGAACATTTGAAGGTGCAGGAAGTGGGACCGCTTCGTTTCTGTGCCAGAACCAACTATTTTTACTGTGACTCTGATTCCAAGAGTCTCCTCTGGCAATATTTTCTATTATGTATTTTAGGGAATGTCATTTTAAGAAGTAGTTATTGGAGGGTACTCCTATAGGAACATAGAAGCATAGAAATAAGAATAGACCATTCAGCCCCTCAAGCCTGTCCCACCATTTAATGAGATCATGGCTGACCTGTGACCTAACTCCAATATACCCGCCTTTGGCCCATATTTCTTAAGTTTTTTTTTTGTTAAGCAGAGACATTATCTTACTCAGATTTAAAACTAATAACTGATCTATTATCAATTTCCATTTGTGGAAGAGAGTTCCAAATCTCTACCATCTTTTGTGTGTATGAGTGCCTCCTAACATCTTTCCTGGTTAGTCTGACCCTAATTCTCAGACTATGCCTTCTAGTTCTAGAATCTCTAACCAGTGGAAATAGTTCATCTTTATCTATCCTGTCTTTTCCTGTTAATATCTTAAAGTCTTTGATCAGATCACCCCTTAACCCTCTTAAATTCTAGAGAACACAGACCTAATTTGTATAATCTCTCCTCGTACACGAACGCCTAAAACCAAGGTATCATTCTTGTAAACCTACATGGTACTCCCCCTGAGGTGTGGTGCCCAGGTCTGCTCTTGGTCTCCCCAGCATGGTCTAACCAGGTTTTTGTATAGGTGCAGCATAACTTCTACATCTTTATACTCCAGTCCTCTGGAGATATAAAGGCCAGCTTCCATTAGCTTCCTTGCGTCCTGATGTCAAGGGATGGTGCACATAAAATGAAGTTATTGTCAAAGTTATTGTCAGTTAGTGTCAAAAATTAAAGCAGCAAGTTAAACTTGGTAAATCATTGCAACTGTATCTTGCTGAAGCAATTCTAGCTCAAGTTCTAATTTTGTTCCCTGCTCATGATTGAAAAGGTGGTGAAGGAAAGAAACCTTTTGGAAAGAGGTGGGTGTGTCTTGAAGTGGAAATGTGAAAATCAAGAACTTTACACTCAGGCAGGATCCTGAATGCATATGGTATAATGCACAATTCACATCCACTTGATGTGAAGTGGGTGAACCTTTGCTGAGGTTTTTAGAGACAGCTTAGCTTAATGTATCAGGGTGCAGGTTAAGTGTTGGGATTTCACTGATAGCAGCTGCCCTCACCTCAGGGTAAGAATTAGTTTGCTGTTCTCGAATTTAAATGCTTGTGACAATTTATATAGCAGTCCTCCATGTAGTCAGCTGGTGCCTTGTCTTGTTTGTTGCATCTGTGTAACTGTTGATGTAATCTTACACTGGTCCCCACAGCAGCTTGGAAGTACCCTGTAGTATGGCAATTAGGAGTGGTCCTAACTGATTAAATGAACTGACACAATGATTGGACCTAGATAATACACCCTGTTGATACAAGTGCATAAGCAGTATGAGCAGGTATTCACCATACAGCCCCTTGAACCTACTTCACCATTCAGTACAACTATGGCTGATTTTCTGTCTCAACTCTCCTTGTTTTAGAATCAACACAATCAGCCCTAAAGCCATAACATTTAAAAATACAAGTAATTTAGCATATTGAGTCTGCCCTGGCGTTCAATGTGATCATGTCTATCTGATAATCCTCAATTTCACTTTCCTGCCTTTTCTCATAACCTTTTATTCCCTTACTGATTAAAAATCTGTCTTCTCAGCCTTGAATATTCTTAACGATGTACTGTACTTGAGACCCAGCCTTGTTAGCCCTCTGCAATAAAGAATTCCACAGATTCACTCTTCTCTGAAAGAAGAAATTTCTCCTTATCTTGGTCTTAATTTGGTAATTCCTTATTCTGAGATTGTGCCCTCTGGTCCTAGACTCTTCTGTAAGAGGAAGTAACCTTTGCACATCTATCCTGTAAAATCCCCTAAAAATCTTGCATGTTTCAATAAGGTCGCCTGTCCATTTTTCTGAACACCACTTGGTACAAGCCTGATCTACCCAACCTCTCCACATAAGAAAATCCCTCCATACCTGGGATTAGCTTTGCAAACCTTCCCTAGACTGTGTCTAGTGTCAGTGTATCTCTCCTTGGACAAGGAGCCCAGAATTGTTAAGAGTATTTCAGTTGTGGTCTGACTAATACCTTGTATAGTGCTTCTGATTTTGTTTTCGATTCTGTGCAGCATATCTACCTGCGATGTTTGTTGATTATTCACATGCTGTTGGATAAGTTCCACATTTACCAGCTTGTTGTCAGGTAATCTCTGTGCTGAATAGCAATTGTGTAGAGAGAACATAGTTTTGTTATTTCAGTAAAATCCTGATTCAGGTGCTGCAGTATCCTGATGACCACTGTTTAGCATTATGGAGGTGAGCAGTACACGCTGTTCATGGTATTTGTGTGAATTAAGAGTTGTATTGCCAGGGAGTTCTGGAAGTCAAAACATTCACCTTTGATTAATGAACAAAAGGTACGTAGATACAGGTTCTTAAGATTTTAACTTTTCGGATACTGCAGTCTCCAGAGTAGTTATTTTCCTTTGAGCCCTCTTTTATGACTTAGCCATTGTTTTGAAATATCTAATAGTGAAAGGAAAAAGATGATTGTGAAAATTGATTGAGTTGTAGAACTGGATAGTATACTGCAAGCAATGTTCCTTTTAAGCTGCATGACCATGCAGCCATTTGAAGGGTCCATGCATGCTGATCGACCGTGAGGACACCACACAGACATCAGAGGTCTGCACAGTAGCAGGAAAATCTCAAGGGAACGTAGACTATAAGATGATAAAATGTCCAAGAAACATATTGAGCAAATATCGTGGGGATACTTCATAATAGGGCAAAATTCAGATTGGTATCGCATTTTGAATTATAAATATTTCATAAGATGTTATGAGGGGGGATCTTATAGAAACATATAAAATTATGAAGGGAATAGATAAGATAGAAGTAGAGAGGATGTTTCCACTGGCAGGTGAAGCTAGGACAAGAGGGCATAGCCTCAAGATTAGAGGGAGCAGATTTAGGACTGAATTGAGAAGGAACTTCTTCACCCAGAGGGTTGTTAATCTATGGAATTCCTTGCCCAGTGAAGTAGTTGATGCTACATCAGTAAACGTTTTTTAAAAAAAAAGTAGATTTTTTTTGAACAATAAAGGAATTAAGGGATACAGTGAGAACGCCGGTAAGTGGATCGGAGTCCACGAAAGGATCCGCCGTGATCTTATTGAATGGCAGAGCAGGCTCGAAGGACCAGATGGCCTACTCCTGCTCCTAGTTCTTATGTTATAGAATGGGATTCAGCCATTCTACCCTTTTTTAATTCATTTTAATTCTCTTTAAAAGGAAGTTTGCATTATTTTCATGCTCAGTACATATAGCAGTAAGCCTGACTGGCACTCAACTGTGTCAAATGATATTCAACATACTCTCAAGACATGTAACTACACTAAGTGTCAGAACATCAGAGGTACTGACATTCAGATGGGATGTTACACATCATTCTCTTCCGATGGATGATAGATTGCTGGGCACTATCCAAAGATGAGCAAGGGAGTTCTTTTGATTCAAAAGCCAAATACTGCAGAAGCTGGAAATCTGAAATTAAATGTCAAAATGCTGGGAATACTCAACAAATCAGGCAGCACCTGCATGGTGAAACAGTTAATGTTTCAGGTCGATGACTGTGACCACTCTTTTTATTGTGTTATGATCCCAGCTAATATTAACCATGTCAGATTCCAAAGTGGAACCTGGCTTAATAGGCATTAAGTTTTTTTATTTTTGCAATTTGTCAATCATTGAACATATTCACAAGAGAATGCCAATATACTATTAACAAAAGAACATGGGTTTGTTACAAAAAATAACTGCGACGTTATCCAAGGACTATTTGAAACACCTATTACATATATCCAACATGTAAAGATTGAAACCTTTTTTGCTATCTACAACAATTTCGCAGACTCCTAAACCTGTGTAAGGTCACCTTGTATCTACCTTAAAACTCCTTGTTCAATTAACACAACTGTAATCTGTTTCTTTTTGGCAAAGTTCTGCATTAAATCAGTCCTACGTTCTGTAGTTCGTGTCTCTTCCTCCGAGCCTTAAAGAAGCTGCTAACTCAGCTCACTTATTGTTTGAAGTCATTTCTTTAACAGCCTTCTGTTTTGTGGAGTGTTTCATTTCCTGAGTTTTAAGCCACTCGGGACTTCTTTTCAGTCCAGACTGCTTTGGAGACTGCAAACCCAACAGCACTTCTGCAATAGACCTTTTTCTCTCTGACTGAAAACTGCACACTGCCCAGCTTCTTCTGGGCTTGTCTATTTTTGTGTTATTGGACTCCTGTCACTGGGAAAGAGTAGTTTTTTTTATTTCAATCTTCTTCCCTTTTTTCTTCATGAACTGGACTGTTCATGCAAGCAAACGAATTTCTAGACATTGTGGAACCACTCACCGAACTTAAAATGAAGCTAAGGTTGTATTTTTCCCCCTTGTTAATATAAAAATGCATATTCAACTTAAAGCTATACATTGTTCTTCCACTTTGGAGCTCATGTTTTCTAATAATAACATATCATTAATCTTCTTCACAATTGCCTGTGAAGCATTTTGGAAGATCTAAGGGTCGTAAAAGACTTTTCAAATGTAAAATTTCATTTTTATCTTTCCTTTCCAGATTACAGACAAGTTGCTTGAAATATCACAAACTAAAACTGGAGTCTTCAATGTGTTAATCACTCACTGTTGCCAAACTTGGCTGCCCGCTGTTTCTCCTGTTGAAGGTTTTCTACAAGATTATTTCATAAGTGCTGAAAACCACATGGATCTTTTTTTAGAGGCATGTCTATTTGGACCTGTTTTTAGGAAGGATCAGAGGTAAAATGAAGTCCTTTAAAAAAAATTGCTGTGTCTTATCAAAATTGATACTAACCTCAGCCTTTTATCATTTCACAAAATTTCCACTTCTTGGAAATCTCAAAAGTTAGAAGTCTAAAGTATGTGTAATTAGTTGTATTACCAAATGTGAATCAGAAAAATCTGTTGTATGCTTTCACAGATTGGTTCTTGATTTGTGTCTTTAATAAATTTAATGAAAATTTTCAAAGAATCAATTCTTTTCTTTTTGTCTAGACTGATTCAAGATGTACATGCCCATATAGAATTACTGGGCGATGAATGTGCAGCCAACACCGGCACTGAATGGTAAGCAAAAAGCTGGTTTCTGGGTTAATTGTAAGAATGGGCAGAGTTGATCTAGAGGAAAGCGGAGAAATGATTCATGGCCTTGGAAATGCTCACATAGACAAAACAAGATTCACTAGTTATCTCTGTAAACAATTAGCCTGCAATCAGAATATAACTGCACAGAATGGCAGGTGAAGAAGGACTATAATTTTATGATCTTTCTGGCTTTTTATTTTGGTATTCTCAGAGCAAAACATTTATGTGGTTTTCAGTTAATCTCAACAAATGTTGCTTTGGTATGCAAATACATATTGTTTTTTTTAGCTACCTCCATACATTCTTATTCACATTTCAGTGCTTTCATAAAACTTGAATTTGCCTGTTTTTAATCTGTTGCTTATGTGGCTTGGTTGTTTGATGCATTTGGCTGTTTGTCAGTAGTGGTTTGTTTCAATTCTCTTTGCACGATTTACCAACAGGAACCACTTAGCATGTTGCTTGCTGGTTATAAAGAAAGATCAAGTATTTGGAACACGAGTCTCTTAGAATTTTCCCCATGGCGATCCCAATCCTATAGCATGCGCAGGCTTATGTTGAAGTTGATGTTCAGGCAAGTTTAACATTGGAAGTATGTTGCCTTACAATTCCTGAACCCTTTTAGTTGCTCTCTCTACAAATTTCCTGTTTTCTGCCCACTACAAGACACCCAATCCACTATTGCAATTAGATTTACTTTTTTGTAAGGTCCAAGGCATGTCACAAAATGATGATTGTACTGTCCACATCCGTATACAATGTGAGGCTAGGACTCCAGGGACTGTTTTACAGTGACAGCTTACATGTTTGGAGGACTTAAATTCACTTTACACTAAACTTATCAAGTTTTGTACATATAACTAAAGTGGTTTGTTTAAAAGTTCTGAAAGTTCACTTTGGACATTGGAGATTTTTTAACAATGTTTCCTAGCAATCACACAATTGGTATGAACTGCTTGCTTTGCTGTACAATCGGGGGCTATTTTTGAACAGTAGCATGCTAGGAGAAGTTCTTGTGTTGTCTGTTTCAGTTGGAATGAAACAATAACAGAAATTTCTGGAAAAACTCAGCACATCTGGCAGCATCTGATGAGAGAAATCAGACTTAACATTTTGGGTCCAGTAACCCTTCTACAGAACTGATGGTAGCTAGGAAAAGGTTGGTATAGAGCCCAAAGAGAGAGAAAAAACAGTTGAACAGACAAAGGAGTGGGTAAAGGTCAGTTTGGGGAAATGAAAAGCTGCTACAGGGCACTATTAATAGCTGATAGTGGGTCGTGTGTGGTAGCAGCCCATGTGATAACAAGGCCTGGTATATGGGGGTAGGGGGAAGGACATGGAAGAAGGTGTCTCAAGGCCTAAAATTGTTAAACTCAATATTAAGTTCAGAAGGCTGCAGTGTTCCCAAGCAGAAAAATTAGGTGCTGTTCTTCCAGCTTGCACTGAGCTTCATTGGAGCACTGCAGCAAGCCTGAAACTGCCTTCCGGTGAAGGAACATGATTGTGTGTTGAAGTTGCAAGCAACTCGAAACTCGGTCTTTTTTGCAGACAGAATGTTGGTATTCTGCAAAGCGATCACTAGTTCAGAGTGCTTTTGTATAAGTATTTATACTTTATAAAAAATGTAATCTGTTTTTCTAATCAACCTGTTCAGATATGTTATTACACATCTCAGGAGCAGGTGGGACTTGAACCAGGCCTGCTAGTTCATGGGTAGGGACACTACCACTGCACCTCACAAGCCCTGACTCATTTATATTTTATTAGTGATTGTGTATGTTAACTATTTACTGCATCTTGTTTGACATTTTGTTTTGATAATATAAAGCTATACTTGTATTTAACAAAGCTGGTTGATAGATGTTTTGTTTAAACCTGATCTGGATAAAGTGTTTAAATGTCACTTTTGGTAACTGGAAAAAAATTTTTATTAATTGTCGTTATCCATGGAGTAGTAAGACTAAAATAATGGTGCACTCCTCTGGCCTTCATCTTAACACCAGTGCTACTAAATGATAAACTGATTAGGAGAACGTTGGAAAAGAAAACAAATCTATTCTTCTAGATAAATGAGCATATAAAGCCCTTGGGATGGAGACAATTATGGGAGGGAGTGTTGGGGCGACTGCTGTGGGGAAAGGCAGGCTCCCAGAGTTGGGAAGGAGTTAGTTCTTCAATGGTGAAGGATTGGATAGGCATTGTTTATTTGGGAAGGATGTGCTGACGTTTTGGATTGAATCTCAACAGGAAGAATGCAGGGTTATACTTTTTTAAAGCCTAATTCTTTAGGGACCATGATATGGAGGTACTTGTATTGGACTGGGATGGACAAAGTCAGAATTCAAATGACACCAGAGCCCAACAGCTCTGAGGTAGGGTCACTGGATCCGAAACGTTAACTCTTTTTTTTTTTTTTTTTTCCTTCTCAGATGCTTCCAGACCTGCTGAGCTTTTCCAGCAACTTTGTTATTATAGTCCAACAGATTTATTTGAAATCACAAGCTTTCGGAGTGCTGCTCCTTCGTCAGGTGAAGTGACTTCAGAGCGTCGCTCTGAAAGCTTGTGATTTCAAATAAACCTGTTGGACTATAACCTGGTGTCATTTGACTTCTGACTTTAGAGACCAGATAACACTACAGTATATTTTTTTTAAAACACACATGGTGAGGCTCTAGTTTGTGAGAACCACTTCTGCTAATCAGATTGCAATAATGACAATTGATTGGAGGGAATAAGTAATGTCCTTAACGTTGATCAATTAGCTTGGTAGACTGAGACATTGCTTCAGCACGAGAGGCTTTGATTGTCCTGATCACTAGCAAGTGTGACACTGATTCAAATTCATTTTTAAAAGCATTTTGAAATCTCAAGGCTAAAACTGTCTCATTTTACGTGAATTATCTACCTTTTTAATTGAGTCTGGACATATTTTGTTAATGCTTGCAGGAGTTTTCTTTTAAATCAAGGTGGATTCCCATCATCTTTGCACAGGATGATTTAAAATTAGCATCATTGTCACATGTACTCTCAGGAGTACAGTGAAAAGTTTACAAGTCACTACTTACAGCACCATTTTAGGTAGAAAGGTATCTAGGTACAGATTCTTAAGTACAAATTCTTAGGGGTGTGAAAATAATTCTAAAAACAAAGAAATAAAAAGTTCAGAATAATTGTCCTTCCAACCCAACCCATGCTGGCACCTAGCCTTGAGTCTGCTCTGGGCTTTGACTCCAGACCACGCCAGGCTTCACCTTGAAGCTGCGAAACCGCCCTGGAATCATCTTTTACTTCATTAGTCAAAAGCATATGCCATCCACCAAGGAGATTGTACCAACCCCTGAATTTTAATCTTGTTTTAATTGTTATTGAAACATCATGTTTACATATAATGATGTGGTAGTACAGGAATAATAATATGTGCTAATATGCCAGCAAAGACTGAAATGCATAAGACCAGCATAACTTGTGTAAAGTGCCTCACTAAAGTGGTTTGTCTTGCAACTGAGATCCTTGATGGTTATAGATGATGATTAAGGATAAGTGGTTGTAAACCATATAATCAGATTCTTAATGTGGAGCTTAACTGATTTTATTACTTCTCAATAAATTTATTTCCTGAATTGTTGAGGAATTTCACTTGGGGAGCAACCAACTGGTGTGTTTGATGTTGATAATGGGAATATCAATGATTTTTAAGATTTGGGTTATGGTTCATTGTCTGTGCTAACAATGTACCCATGTGGTTTGTAATTGTAAAAACCGAAAGAAACCTGTTCTGAGGAAGGGTTGCTGGACCCGAAACATTAACTCTGATCTTTTCACAGATGCTGCCAGACCTGCTGATCTTTTCCAGCAGCCTCTGTTTTTGTTCCTGGTTTGTAGTTGTGTTTTCCAACTTTGATACTTTGGCTTTTAAAAAAACATTAATTTCTTAAAATCTAAATTATACCCTTTTTTCTGACATTTTAAGTTTCCTTGCAATCCTTTTGAGCACTATTTTAGAGTCACAGTTTTCACAGCACAGAAAAAGACCCTCAGCCCAACGTGTCTGTGTCGGTTGTTGAGCGTCTTTCTATTGTAATCCCAATTTCTGGCAATTGGCCTGTAGCTGTGGTGTTTCAAATGTTCCTGCTGTAATCATTTATTTTAGGTGAAATTCTTCTCTTTTCCCCAAATCTGCTCTAAACCCACCTGCTCCATAAACCAGTGTGCACTGGTTGTTAACCCCTCTCCTAATGGAAAACGTTTCTCCCTATCTACCTTCTCGGTGCCCTTCGTAACTTTAAATACTTCACTCAGGTCCCCCCTCAGTATTCCCTCCTCTGAGGAAAACGACCCAGCCTATGGAGTTTCTCTTCATAGCTGAAGTGCTCCAGCCCAGGCAACAACATGTTAATCTCTGCACCCTGTCTGTGTAATCTAGAGCAATTTTTAGTAACTGCAGTTGTTTTTCTTATAACATGTATTTTAACACACCAAAAGTCTGAAAAGAGGCATGCAATCAATGGTTTTGTAGCCATCTATTAGTCAGAATGCATTGGATGATGGAGCAGCAGTTACGTACAAAGCTTTTTGTATCCCTTATGGCCACTGGGTTAGAATGACATTTGCAGGCACCTCAGAACTAATCATCTACTAGGATGCACACCAGGCCCAGATGGTACTTGGCCTGGGAAGGTCACATAGAAATTAGTTAACAGGGGTTGAAAAGCAAACATTTTCAAAACAATATCTAATTATTATTTAACTTAAGGTTGGAATCAGATTATTGAAACAGTAACATTCTTGTGACCCAAAACTTGGATAGTGCTTAACTTGTTGAAATAGGTGTTTTCTTTTTTGCTGATTTTACTACCTTGCAGTGAAAGCAGAGATGATCAATCAGTGCGGATTTGTGCCATTAACTTCCTCTGCCATTTGAATGGTTCGAATTCACTGCACAGGAAATTCATGGAGAATGTTTTCAGTAAACTCCTTGAAAAGGTAATTACTTATCTTTTGATATTTTCCTAGGGCAAGTGCCCTGATACACTGTTTGTACACAGATTTTTTTTTTTTGCTGAATATGTAGGATAATTTCTGACACTTACTTCCTTTTGATGATCAAAGCTGAGATATAGTTTACACGATAGCAGAAATGACCACAGGACCATGTAACACTACCCTGTTAAATGCTGGTTAGACAGAGTTCAGGCATTTACTTTTATAGTCTGATTTAGTTCTACCCCCTCAACAGAAATCCCAACAATGCTGATTACTTATTCCCCCTTTAATTATTTTTAATCAACCTACTCAGACATGTTTGGAGCAGGTACGACTTGATTCTGAGATCTACCTGGCTGACCGTTCCAATCACTAAGTGGTTAATTTATCTGACACTACTTTGGTAGCTATACTATACAGATGGAATATCTTCAGATTCTAGTGCATTCTATTTAAAGCTTTAATTAAATGACTTTGAATACAAAAGGGAACATAAATAAACTCAATTGAAGTACTATTTATAATTTCTTTGCAAGAGAAACTGCTTGTAAAAATGAGAAAAAAGTCTGATTACATAAAATTCTTTCTTCTGTCAACATCAGAAAATACGTGAGTTGGAGAAAGAATTAACGCATTTGAATTTTGAAGCCAACTAATTATCTCTGCCTTTTACTGTCAGTTTAAAAAATAATTAGTGTTTTTGTTTGACACTTGAGGCAGAGATTCCAACAGCTTACACCTCCCGCAATTAGATCGAGACAGGCCCAGAAATGTGTAGCCACTGCACACCCTTTGCAATACGCCAGATAAGGTGGTATTTGCATTTCATGTTGATAGTGTGCCTCACAGCATTTTGGCAAAGCCAGAAGTGATTTAGGGGTTGCAGTTGAAATGAGTGGTGTGCCATTTGCACAGGCAAATAAGGGACTGTTGCAAAGGGTTTGCATGTAAACCTATAACTGCAGGTAGAAAACTATATCCTCCACACTATCGTAAGAAATTTAAGACTTTTAACAAAGGGATAATGGAGAACTATAATTGCGAAGAAATACTGCTTTGTTTCCTCAGAATGAAGCGATGCAGATTTCCAGCAATATGATAGAAAGTCTTTTGTAAGTCTGGAAAAGTGGAGTTGAGTTGAACTATGCTGAAATGTAAGAGATTTAGAACAGCAAAAAAAGCTTGCAGAGTTGTGAAGTTAATTTCTGTGGTTGATAATTGAGACAGAAACACAGCAACATTCAAGATTAGGTTGAACAGGTGTAGAAATGAGATGGGAATACGGGAATATGATTAGTTGCTTTGAACTGTTTACTTTTGTGAAAGATAAATCACAGGTGGGCTGAACAGTGTCTATATATTATAACTTCTAACATCTGTATGAACCCTGAAACGCAAATAGAGAAAGAAACTGCAGTGTGTTTCTATCTGCGATTGATAACGCAAGAAATTGACCAATAGAATTTATTTTAGCAACAGATGTTCACTTTTGCTGTTCCTTCCACTTCCACTTGAATGGATGGTAGTATTATTTGTATGCATTTTAGGTATTTACATATTTAAGTCTTTGTAGATGTGCAGTCTCAAAGAGGTTGTGTATTTTCAGAACTTGTACTTTGAGTGAGATTTGATCAGATGAGGTTCTCCAAATTGGAAGTCCAGTTAGCTAGAATGCCTCTTGGATGTGGGATTTATTTTTGTAAAGGACATTTGATTCCTGTTCAGCAACTATTTACGCAAGATTGTATTATTTATCTTTTTGGATAACACGCCACAATCCCTAGCCTAATGTTCCTCAGCATCTGATGTATATCACCTTTCTTTTTTCTGTTTTTAAAGGATGAACAGCTAAGGAACACCAAAGGCAGATACTATGTGAACTCCATGCTGCATCGACTAAAGAACAGAATTTGGCAGACCCTGCTTGTTTTACTACCTCAAATGAACCAGGTAGAAACATTATAAGATGGTGCCTATAATTTACATTCATTAGGAAACAAAAAGTAATTACCTGTGAAGTAATTTTAATCTTTCTAAATGTTACTCTCTGAAAGCAGCTCTCTTTTTATTTCTCTAATAGCCCATTTTTCACTTTAAGAAGAAAGCATTCTTTGGCCTGTTGTTTGTTGATTTCTTTTTCTGGTAGTTCTGATTGCTGCACAGATAATTGTGCAGTGTTTGCATTTTGAAATGAAGTGCAATTGTGATGCATACTGAATACTGAATACATTGTGATGCATACTGAAATGCATGCTGAATTTAAAAATTCAACCCAAAATTAGCTTGCTCGATTCACCCATGGGATCTTTGAACGGACTTATTGCATGAAGTGTTAATGCTTTAAGAGCTGAGTGTGCTAAAGCGTTCAGGACCAAGATGATATCACATGCTCACCAGCCATGGGGAGTCGAAGGAGCAGCACGCTGGTCTGAGGATGTGTATATAACTTGCAATTACAAAGCAACTTATCAGTTTGTGTATGGGGTAGGCCTGATTGTGATTTTCAAGTAAGTTGAACCTATGCTGCTTACTAATCCATTGTGGAAGTTGTAATTCTGTTAAGGAACACAATATTTGCATACACGTTGTGATCAGTGGTGGTTTTCCTTTTACAAAAAAATTAATGCAGCAATGTGAACTTGAAAACACAGAAAGAAGCCTCAGGAAAGGTTTGAAGCAGCTCAGAAGTTACATTTACACTTGGACCCCAGGATGAAAAAAATCATTGTTCAAATGGCACCGACTAAAAAGTGATTTTTTTTTTTATTTGTGAGCTGGTCGGAATAGTGGCCTCATGGATGGAGAGTCGGTTCCGAGCTGAGCTGTGGAAGGTGACAGGACTTGAGCTACAGCTTAAAATCAGCACAAGATAGAATTTTTTAAAAAGTAGAAGCACTGCAGCAATGTTGCTGAATCTCCACATGGAGTAGACTTAGGGAGTAGTAAACTAGTTGTTGCAGTTAGTCCCTCCATACCCCAGAGCATTTGCAAAGACGGGGAACACAGAAGATGACCACTAAATTCCCTCGCATAAGCTGGCAGGCTACAGGTGAATTGAAGCTTTTAAACAAAGAATAGACCTCTGAATTTTAGATTTAACCATTGCTGACTTGGGTAAGTAGCCGTCAAATAAAAATAGCCTTTGGAGAGGACGGGTTGCAGAAAACGTTTCCTCTAAGATGCACCTGCACAGCCGCACTAATATTTCACGCACACCGACTTCTGTTTTCGGAAGTAGCTGCCACATGCAGGCTGTGAAGAACACGAAGAGATCGTTGGTTGCAAAGAGTCAACATTTCAGGCCTCTTTGAAAAGGATCATAGAGATCCTGCTAAGATATGGGAAAGAGTGGAGGAGTACTGTGTAAAAGTGGACTTTGGAATTTGTCTTTAACAGCTGATGTCTTAGAAGCAATGACAGCAGCAAGAATGATTTGATCAGTTTGTGCCGTGACAAGGGCAAGCACCCTAATTTCTCAGAGGCTGAGCTGTCTGTGGATAATAAACTGATTATGGTTTCAACACCCATCAAAGCTTTCCAAGATAACCTCTTGGAGAAAAAGAGAGGCATAGTATTGCCACCCTGCTAAAAGATGACAGAAAATATGAAGACACGTTAGCAGGACAAACAGCACCTGCAAGCAAGTATAGTTACCAACATTGGCACGGTAGCCAAGATATATAAAGCAAGCAAGCAGTGTTGAAAGTGCAGCTTGTTACTCCCACTAGCTGTCCTGCATTCCAAAATTTCGAGTCAGTTTTAATCACAAAATGTCTAATTTATATGACTTTAATCGCTATCTTAAATAAAGGAAACTCACCAGTTTCATCAACAAACGAGAAAACAGATTTGTTTATTGTAACATACCTATGCTTTAACAAGTGGCAAAATATATTGTTTATTACTGACATGCAAACTTAAACTATACCACACCCCCTTTAAATTTAAACATATGGGCACACACGCGAGACAAGATGCACAATTTTGTGGAAATATTGTGGATGGAAAACATAAGCGGAAAGAGGCAAATTCTTGGATCGGAAACAAACCACAAGAGTGGGAATGAAATGACTTTCTCGGTTCTTTTACTTTTGGCAATTATGTCATGTCAATCATGGTAACCTTAAATTTGGTAACTAGTCAGTAAAACCTAAGCTTTTACAGTGAGAAGTTCTTTTCAGGGTCGTTTGGTGCTGGTTTTGTTGAATTATCGGAGAGAGACTTCTGGTTTGACCTCTGGGTTTTTTGGAGGTCTGAGTGCAGCTGCCCACTTAGTTCTGTGACAAAGTTGCATCTTAAAACAATTCAAAAGGTGTTATTGGGCAGTTGATTTTTCAACCCAGAGGCACCTTGTACCAGCTAGTCTCGCAGAAGTATTAAATGCATCTTCTCGAAGGATTGCATGTGTTTGTGTAACTAAATTGGAAACACCACACAGTTCCACTTCCAACAGAATGAGTTAGATGCCAGGCGTGTGGGATACTGCATACTGGCCAAGGATCAACAATGACATCGGTAAGACAGTGTGGATGTGCGAGGCATGTCAGAGTCGCAAACTACAGCAATACGAAGAACTTTGCAGCAGATTTATTCATCATTTGTAGCAGCAATTTTCTCCTTTCCACTGACTCTTTTTCTCAATTTTCAGTTGAAAGACAGGGAACTGTATACTATTCCAATTATGCATAGAACACATACAAAAGTATGCTGTGGGAGTGAAGTGTGAAAAGACCATCATAGCAACAACCAACACTTAATAGCACCAATGAGACCAATACCTGTATAGGTCAGGAATGACTAGGTGTGAAGACCAGATCTCCAGAAGATTAGGCTGTCGTGATCTCCAGAGGATTGTCAAGCAGCCTTTGTTACACAGACTATAAGACTCTTCAATTCATAACTTTCAGAGTTCTTACTCTGTGTAAATAGTTTTGCAGCCACCTAATGTATGTGTATGTTCACTCCTAATGCATTGCAATTTGTGGGGCTGCGAGACAGAGATTGGGGAAGGGAAAGAGATACTTTGTTACTGCTTTAAGAGCAGAATGTGTTGATAAGCCAAGGATCAGGTTGACACCACGTGACCAGCACTCATGAGTCCAAGCAGCAGCGTACTGGGCTCAGGATGTGTACATAACTTGCAGTTGAAGAGCAACTTATCAGTTTTTCTGTAAAGTAAATCTGTTTGAGATTTTCAAGTAAACTGAACCAGTGCTACTTACCAGTCTAATACTGTGTCAAGGAACAACACAAAACTGTGATACTACCCATTTTTTTTGTGCTAAAGCTGCATCAATCTATTTCACAGGTTTTTCTGAGCAGCATCATAGAAACAGTTTATCAGGCTGGTTTGAGTGATAATCAGGCATCTGTAAAATACTTGATCGAATGGTTTATCATCTTAATGCTGCAGAAATGCCCTGAATTCATTGATTCTTTCTGGCGATGCTTCAGTTATGTAAGTAATCACAGGATTAATTAAATCTGCTCATTCCTCTTATTTTCTCATGCCAGTCTTGAACTCTATTTGGGTATACTTAGCAGCAGTGAGAAATATCACTGCTGTAGGAATTTACATTTCTCAGGTATTAATTTACTGTCTTGTAGGATCTCAGTTTGCTAATGACAATTCTATAGTGTATCTAGAACATAGAACAGTACAGCACAGTACAGGCCCTTCGGCCCACGATGTTGTGCCGAACCTTTACCCTAAACCTAAGGTCTATCTAACCTCCACACCTACCTTCTACTATCATCCATATGCCTATCTAATAGCCGCTTAAATGTCCCTAATGAGGCCGACTCCGCGATCCGCTCTGGCAATGCATTCCACGCCCCTACCACTCTCTGAGTAAAGAACCTACTTCTGACATCTCCCCTGTATCTACCTCCACTCACTTTAAAACTATGCCCCCTCGTAAAAGCTACCTCCACCCTAGGAAAAAGTCTCTGGCTGTCCACTGTATCTATACCTCTGATCATTTTGTACACTTCTATCAAGTCACCTCTCATCCTTTGTTGTTCTAAAGAGAAAAGCCCCAGTGCTCTCAACCTTTCCTTGTAAGACCTTCCCTCCATTCCAGGCAACATCCTGGTAAATCTCCTCTGCACCTTTTCCAACGCTTCCACATCTTTCCTGTAATGCGGCGACCAGAACTGAACACAATACTCCCAGATGTGGCCGAACCAGGGTTTTGTATAGCTGGAGCATAACTTCACGGCTCTTGAACTCAATCCCTCAATTAATGAAAGCTAACACCCCATACGCCGCCTTAATAACTGCCACCCAGGTGGATAGAGCTTTCAGGGAATTGTGGACATGAACCCCAAGATCCCTCTGCTCCTCCACACTGCCAAGAATCTTTCCGTTAACCCTGTATTCTGCTTTCAAGTTTGTCCTTCCAAAATGAATCACCTCACACTTTTCAGGGTTAAACTCCATCTGCCACTTCTCAGCCCAGCTCTGCATCCTATCAATGTCCCTTTGTAACCTAGAACAGCCCTCCGCACTATCTACAACTCGACCCACCTTCGTATCGTCCACGAGCTTACTAATCCACCCTTCCACTGCTGCATCCAAATCATTTACAAAAATCACAAATAGAAGAGGACCCAGAACAGATCCTTGTGGTACACCACTTGTAACAGAGCACCATGTTGAATATTTTCCGACCACTACCAACCTTTGTCTTCTAAGGGTCAGCCAATTCTGAATCCAATCTGCCACATTTCCTCCTATCCCATGCCTCCTTACTTTCTGCATGAGCCTACCATGGGGAACCTTATCAAATGCCTTACTTAAATCCATGTACCACATCCACTGCTCTACCTTCATTCACATGTTTGGTCACCTCTTCAAAGAATTCAGTAATGTTGGTGAGGCATGATCTACCCCTCACAAATCCATGCTGATTATCATGAATCAAACTGTGCTTATCCAAGTGATCATAAATCCTATCTCTCCAAGCCCTTTCCAATAATTTGCCCACCACTGAAGTAAGACTAACTGGCCTGTAATTTCCAGGGTTATCCCTATTCCCTTTTTAGAACAAGGGAATGACGTTTTCCTCTCTCCAGTCTTCTGGCACTATACCTGTGGACAGTGAAGACGAAAAGATCATTGCCAAAGGTCCTGCAATCTCTTCCCTCGCTTCCCATAGAATCCTTGGATAAATCCCATCACGCCCAGGGGGCTTATCTATCTTCAAGTTACTCAAAATTCCTAGTACATCTTCCTTACTAACATCGACCTCCTCTAGCCTACCAGCCTGTTTCACACTGTCCTCCTCTACAACTAGGACCCTCTCAGTTGTGAATACTGAAGAAAAGTATTCATTAAGGACCTCTCCTATCTCCTTAGGCTCCGTGCATAAATTCCCTTTACAATCCTTGATTGGCCCTACCCTTTCTCTGGTCATTCTCTTATTCCTCACGGATGTGTAAAAAACCTTGGAGTTTTCCTTGATCCTATCTGCCAAGGTTTTCTCATGCCCCCTTATAGCTCTCCTAAGCCCTTTCTTCAGCTCCTTCCTGGCTAACCTGTATCCCTGTAGAGCCTTTTCCGTTCCTTGTTTCCTAAACCTTATATAAGCCTCCTTCTTCCTCTTAACTAGTCGTTCGACCTCTCACAAGAACCAAGGCTCCCTCACTCAACCATATTTTCCCTGCCTGCTCAGGACAAACATATCGATCACACGCAGTATGTATTCCTTAAACAATCTCCACATTTCTATAGTGCTCTTCCCTGACAGCATCTGTTCCCACTTTATGTTACCCAGTTCTTACCTAACAGAATTATAATTACCCTTCCCCTGCCCCCCACCACACCATTATAAACCTTACCCTGCTGTATGTACCTATCCTTTTCCATTACTATTGTAAAAGTAACAGAGTTACTTGACAGTGGTCTGTCAAGCCAGGTTTCTCTCTGGGATCTGATGTGTCCACTGTTGCCATCAGTTTGGATTGTAACATGTCAACAATAACAACAGCATGTATTTACATAGCATTTTAAATATTGCCAAATAGCCTGTGGTTCTTTACAGCAAATTTTTAAAACCACAATTGATTCCATAATGAGATGTGACCATGAGGTGAGTCAAAGAAATAGACTTTAATCAGAGACCAAGAGGAAGAGCAAGGTATAGACCGTTTGAGAGAAGAGAGCCAGAGTCATGGTCATACAGTCATAGATGTTATGCTGCACTGAAAGAGTCCCTGTGGCCCATCAGGTCTGCACCAGTCAGAAACAACCAACTAACTATTCTAATTCCATCCAGCATTTTTGGTTCATAGCTTTGTATGCCTTGTCTTCGCAGGGACCAGGGTTCAATTCAGTCTCGGGTGAATGTGTGAAGTCCTGCTCCCACTCCAAAATTACTTTTGTGGGTTCTTTTGTTTCCTCCCAGAGTCCCAAAGATGTGCAGGTTAGGTGGATTGCCCATGCTAAATTGCCCCATAGTGCCCTGGGATGTATGGGCTAGATGGATTAGCCATGGGAAATGTGGGGTTAGAGGGATAGGGTGGGTTGTGGGGTGCTGTTCACAGTATTGGTGAAGAATTAATGGGTTGAATGGCCTCTATCTGCACCATAGGGATTCTACGGTCCTCACTAAACTTCCTGCCCCTTAGCTTAAATCTGTGCCCCCAGTCATTGATTCTTCCACAAGACAGGTTTCTTCCTGTCTACCATGTCTATACTCCTCATAACTTTGTTTTATAAAATTCTGTGTAAAATTAACTGTTCATGTCCCCTGAGTTCTTTGGAACTTCAGAATTTATGAGGCTTGTAGGACTGGAGAATGTTACAGAGCTATGGAGGGAATCCATTATAATTCATGGTTCTGAGAACTGTCATGCTGATCAGCGTAATGGTTGACCTGCTGCAATTCATTGAGTTATTGCAAGTGCATATTTCTTCCAGTGTGTAATATTCTGTCTCCTCTCATTCTTGATAGTTTTATGAGTGGGAGCAATTTGTCCTTATCTATTCTATCCACCCTTTGATAATTTTGAAAACTGCTATCGGATGTTTTGTTCATCTTTACAAAGCGAACAATCCCAGCCTGTCTAATCTATCCTTATAATTGAAGTTTCTCATCCCTGAAACAATTCTTGTGAGCCTCAGTAAAAGGTCTGCAGTGGGTCAGGAAGGCAGCTCGCCGCCACCACCACCACCACCACCACCACCACCTCAAGAGCAATAGATGCTGGCCCACCTAGTGACAACCACATCCCATGAATGAATTTTAAAGAGTTTTCTGGCACCTCACCTGACTCTAGGGAAGACTTGAGAGATTATGGCCTGTACCCCTGACATTTCCACTCCCTTTTTCTTCAGTATCCTCAGATGCATTTCATCCAGTCCCAGTGTTATAACTTTAAACTTTGAAGGTGTGCAATTCCCTACAGCTGCAACCAATTTTGCTCTTCTGAGGGACATCATTTATTATCAGTTAATATTGTAATTGTAGATAAATTGACAGGTTATTCCTTTGCAGTTTTATTGCTCAACACTGTTATGAGACCTTAAATAGTTGATTTGTTGCCTATATCATCAAGATATTATGATCTGTACTGGTGTGAAGGGAGGAGGAATGTATGAGAGGCTAATGTCAGTAGAAGCAATTTTACGTTCATTGTGGTGCTGAAGAAGGTAAGGCGAAGGCAGGGCCTAAATTAAAAGTTGACTATTTAAAATTTGAGTTCTTGCATAAATGCAGCCAGTATAGATGAGCAAGGGCAAGATAACCGGATGAGTATTATTGTTATCGGAAAGGATATCAAAAATGGAGTTTAGAGTGAACTGAAGATTAAGAGATAGCAGACAACCAACTTGACAATTCAAATAGTAAAGGAGAATTGATAAGGACACAAGTGACAATTTCAATTGCAGAAATCAGAACAGATGCAGAGGCTGTTACCAAATGGAAATTAATGATTTCGTGTTTGAGCGGGTGAGGGATCTTAAGCTCAGCTTAGAGCTGTCTCTGCCGTTGAGTTTAACAAAATATTGTTTTGTGGGCCGAACAATGGATTTGTTAGCCAGGGTGAAATTCAGTGAGAGAAGCACATCCATCTGTTTGTTCCTTTTTATATAGCACAACAAGCAAGTAATTGTCATCTTTGTTATCTGTGCTGTAAATCCTCAAATCCAAGCTTCTGCCCAGAAATTGGCCTCTGATATGCTCTAGTCTTCATTGCTGTTGATCATTACCACAGATGTTGCATTATAACAAAATTAATTACTGTAATATTGTGCCCTAAAAACAAAATTATAGAATAAGATGAGTAATGGTAAATTGAGGGTTGCATAAAAGGAAGGACAGTTTCACTATTTTGTTTCTAATTAGTACAGACGCATTGTATAGGGAATTGTTTTGCAAGTGGAGCTTTAAATGGATTCTCTAGAGTTATAATTATGCCTTAAAGTAAAAATCCTTTTATAGTTAATTGAAACTCAGCGCAACATTCCTAATTTGCGTGACTATTTCAGCTGAGCAACCAAATTAGCACTCCTTCCTGTTTGAATTAACAGTTGTTAAATACAGCATTTTATGACTTCTAAAGGTGTGAATCTGAAGTGAAGATTTAGTTTCTGTTTATTCTTCCTAGCAAATTAATGGAAGATAACATTATATTTCAGGTCTGAACTAACATTTTTTGAGCATTGTTCTGCTTTATTCCTGATTACAAGTCATTTTGACATTTTACAGTAATGCCAACCTTTACTTGCCCAGTGAACACGAGAACCTAATTTGGCTTGTTGCTCACCAGTTAAGGGGATGTGAAGCTGGATTATGCAGTCCAGGAAGGTCCCAGAATTGACCCCCCCCCTCCCCCCCACCCCTACCCCCGACAGTTCTGAGTTAGCTAAGTACAATTGAAGTAGTGTTAAGCAGTCTGCAAATAATCTTGGTAAGCTGGTTTACAAATGGGGAAACATTGGTCTTGGTTGCTGTTCCTGATGACTGTTCAACAACTCTGGTTGTATTACGTCATTCTGGTTTGAGGCTCAACTTGGCTCCAGTACCTTCCATAATTAAAAAGAAACTATGCCCTCACTTTCTAACTCAAACCTTTTGCACAATGTACCAGTGGATGCTGTTGCAGGCAGAATAACATCACTCGAAGAAATCAATACCATTAGAAAAGAGAATGACTCAGCAGAAAATAGTGAATTAAGTTTTCCCTTGCCAGCCTGGAAATCCCTTCTTTGGAAGCACAGTTAGGTGGAAATTTTTTTTAGCAGGTGTGTCAATTCTAGTACAGTACTTTGGAAATGTAAAATAATTTTCAAGACTGCTGTATAAAGTTTTATCACTTGTGCTTTACATTAATATTCATATCTGCAATGTTTTCCAGTTAACATGTTTGTAGGTAGGCACCCCAACATTATTGTGTCATCCAAAAATTCCAAAATCCAGCATGACTTGGTCCCAAGCATTGCAAACTGTGGAAAGGTTAAAGCCCATCTTTAAAAGAAGGGTTTTGTTTTATTTTGTTACATTGATTCAAATATATTGCTTCAATTCTCCTGTTTCATTTTGGATCATTTTCTGTAGAACCCAGAAAATACAAAAACCAGTATCTGCACGTTCCTGGCTGTGTTAGTTCACATTAATGTAATCCTTAAGAACATTTCAAAAAAGGTAAGCATTTTTATTTTCAGACCTAAATTCGTTAAATATTTAGGAATGTGTGGGATGATTAGAATCTGTGCTAAAGTTCTGTGATCATTATGCTAATTGTGTTTAATGATCAAAACTGATGGAGTTCCATTGTCCTGTTGGCCAAGAATCACATTCATTGCAAAAAATAAAGCAAGAGATGGCTCTCATGAAGGTTTTACCATTTATGTATTCATAGCAGTAAATCCCAAAGAGAAATTGTCAAACCCTTTGTTTTTGGCTGCAAATAAATTTACAACCAGCTGCAGGTATGTTGTTGTAATTCTGGAGCCAAAATTCAAATTCACAGCTCAGATGTAAAGGCAGTCAGCTGATGTAAGGACGTAAGAAATAAGGGTAGGAGTAGGCCATTTGACTTCTTGGGCTTGCTGCACCCGCCAATAAGACTACGGTTGTCTACTTCTATCAATTCCATTAAACCCTGCATTTGTGCAAAAGCCTTTATCTTCAGATGTGATGTGTATATTAATGCTCAGTTTGCTTTTTTCGACCTCTGTTAATCTTTATGTTGTTGAGAACAATATAGACTAAGGAAAAAATGGAAATTGCTGGAAAAGCTCAGCAGGTCTGGCAGCATCTGAAGAGAAATCAGTTCATATTTTGGGTCTCGTGACCCTTCCTCAGAACAGTTCTGAGGGTCACTGGACCTGAAACGTTAACTCAGATTTCAGTTCGCAAATGCTGCCAGATCTGCTGAGTTTTTCCAGCAATTTCTGTCTTTGTAACAGTAGTACTATGTACAGTTCTGGTCACTCTATTATAGGAAGGAATTGTTAAACAGGAGAGGATTCAGAAAAGATCTACCAGGATGTTGCGAGGAACAGAGGATTTGCCTTATAGGGAGAGGTTGGATGGGCTGGGACTGTTTTCACTCGAAAGTAAAAGATTAAGGGGTGACCTTTCTCGAGGAGAATAGATAACGTGAATAGGCAAGATGTATTCCTTAGGGTGGGAGAGTTTGAAAGTAGAGGGCATATTTTTAAGGTGAGATGAGAAAGATTTAGAAGGGACTTGAGAGGCAGCTTTTTCACTCAGAGGGAGATTTGTAAGTGGAATGAACGCTGAGGAAATGAGAGATGCAGGTACAGTTACAACATTTAAAAGACATTTGCACAGGAACGTGAATGGGAAAGGTTTAGAGGGATATGGGCCAAACGCAGGCAAGTGGGGCTAGTTTAGTTTGGGAAACTTGGTTGGCATGGGCAAGTTGGACCGAAGGGTCTGTTTCTGTATGACACTGAGTCTATTTATATTTATATATATTTATGTGTTACGTATTTATATTTAACATGTGAGGTTGAGTTTGGGATCTTGATTCTAAAATAGTAATCGTGGCAAAATAAGGGTCACTCTTCTTTTGCAGGGAACCTCATTTGCAGTTTCTCAAAACAAAAAATTTCTGCCCTGGTCTCCTTTCAGATAGGCAGATTATTTCAGATGGAACATTTTCTCTCGTGCACTAATCTGTGAAAGCTGAGTTGAAGATGGATTGTGAACAGTGGTATTTAATATGTATTTAATGAAAATGGGGACTTTGATAGGGTAGACTGAGTCATTCCTGTTTTAATTTTACAATGTGCATTTTTTACTTGTTTACCTTTATATCCGTATTCAAATATTTAAATTTAGAACCGCAGTAAATGAGATGTAACCAGTTTAAAATTGCAAAACTAAAGGATAATCTTGAATCACTTTCTTCAGGTAATTTATTGCATTACCTTTACAGTCAGTAATATGTTGATCCAAATTCTGGTGGCTTTTTTTTTAATTGTCTTATGACCTAGGACCAACATTTGAAAAAGGCGTTGAGTGTGATATTGCCATGGTGTCTAAACCACAACTTCAGTGTGCGACTATATGCCCTGCTTGCCTTACAGCAGGTATGGGAGGCATGTTTACAGTCTAAGGTAGAAGGCAAGGAGCTGCAATTTTTGGCACCAATTATCGAGTCATGTCTAGAACAAGCTGGAAACAAGCAAAGCACAGGGTCAGTATGAGACGAGCGTATGTTTTTCTTTTAATTGTCATTAGTTTCAAATGACCTGAGTGCTTATCTGTAGTTCTCCTTTTAGGAAGAATATTTTTTAAAATTATACATCTGTGCACATGTTCAGCAACCGTTTAAAAATATTTAGGGGCAATAAAACTCGCTAAGGCATTTAATATTTTATCATCCTTTTACTGCTTACTTCATTCCATGTGTGTGGCCAAAATCAAGCAACTTGCTCACATGTCTCTGTTAAAGCTATCGCAAAGCGGCTACTACACAATTCATACAGGTAACCTCAAATTTCTGCCCTTCGGTTTAACTTATTAGACTTCGGGGAACTAAGAGAATCTGAGAGTCCCTATTTTCAGTTGCACTCCTATGCCTTTTGCTGTAGGAATAGAGGAAGTACACACAGTAGCCATGGGGTGGCTAAAGATATTTGGATTCCGATTTACATTTGATTGGTGAAAAGGGGATGCGTCCATATTTTGTACCTGTGTCAAACACTACCCAAAGATTGGCACCATGAATATTTATCATGCGTGGGAGCAGATGTTTGTGCATCAGATTTAGAAACATCCTTCATTTTATAATTACTTATTGCTTTCATAACTGTATTTAACAAAAAATTCTGCACTTGTCATTTTAGAATTCAAAATCATAAAATTGTAAGTCTTAACAATTTTAGTTTATGGGTCTGTTGAAAGTTTAAACAGTTTTATTTTGTTTCGATTTTGTTCTTTTCGTGATGAATTTATTTTCTCTTCCCTTAAGGAATGCTGGAAAGAACTGGCAGAGAATTCAGGACCATTTCTTTTTTGGAAAATTTCAACCATTGGAAGACTACAGTTTAGAGGTATAGAAGAGGTGCTGAAGATATTCTTGACTTTCTTTAATATCTGTGTTTTCATAAAGTTTCAACATAAAAAACTGTAGTATTTTTGGTCAACATGCAATGCCTCAGGGTCATATTCAATATCAGTTAAATGCACATTAAGAGGCTTTAGCTTTTTTCCAACAATGTATACAGACTTCAGCTTAAGGTAGGCATCTCTTTTGGCACCTGCTGTTCTGGTCAACGTTGGAAATTCATTATTCATGTGCGTCTGAAGGGTCACCGGACCCGAAACGTTAACTCTGTTTATTCCTTTACAGATGCTGCTAGACCTGCTGGGCTTTTCTAGCAACTTTGGTTTTGTTCCTGAAATTGAGTTATGTTGTTCAAATGCAGTTAATGTGAATTTGTTCCAGCCAGTAGATCGAGTCACTTGTCCATTGCTGTTTAGTTGGTGATGGGGATGGCTGTGGCTCGGTTGGTAACCCTTCTGCTTCAGTCAGAGAAATTAGAGGTAACATGGTTAATATAGAAATAATGGGTGACTTCAGTATACTTATAGACTGGATAAACTTAATCAGTGCTACTGCTGTGGAGGATGAATTCCTCATGTATGCACAAGATGGGTTTCTGGAGCAATACATCGAAGAGGCTAATTTAGATTTAGTGTTACAGACTGAGAAATGACTTCCTTAATGACAGAGGCTTCTTAATAACTGCTGTAAAAGAGCCTTTGCGAAACAGTGATCATAATTAGATAGAATATCATTCAAGTTTGAATTCAAAGTAGTTAATTTGGAACTGGGATCTTAAATCTAAACATTTGAAACGATGAAGTATTTAGAGATACTACATGCTTTGCAACAAATATACACTCCTGTAAAAGCCACAAACACCCAAGGAGAAAAATAAAATAACCATGGCTAACAAAAGAAGTTAAAGATTACATTAGATTAAAGAAACTATCTTATAAGGATTCCAAAAAAGTGGTAAGCATGAGGATTGGAAGCAATTTAGAATCCAGCAAAGAATGACCATGAAACTGTTGGAGGGAAAATAAAAGAATGCAAGCTAGTGAGCAAGAAACATAAAGTCAGCCTGGAAAAGCATTTTTTTTTATGTGAGAGGAAAAGATCAGCTTGTACGAATGTCGGCCCATTATATGAGAAATTATCGAGAACAGGGAAATGGTGGACAAACAAAATGCACTTTGTGTCTTCATGGAAGAAGATACTGAAAATCTCACAGAAAATGAGGCTACCAAGGACTTGTGAAACTGAGGAACTGAAAGAAATTAGCATTTCTCAGGAGGTAGAACTGGCAAAGTTAACTGGATTGAAGTGATAAATCTACAGACCAAATGAGCTTCATCCCAGAATGTTGCATGTGGGAGCAATAGGAATAGTACTTCGGTGTTTTCTTTCAAAATTGTGTAGATCCTTGAAAGATTCTTGCAGACTGGACAGAAGCAAATATAATATCACTATTTATTTAAGAAAGGAGAGAGAGGGAGAATGGAGAACGAAAGAGTTGTTATTTTGATGTGAGTAGGAAAAATGTTAAAGTCTATTCCAAAGGATGTAATTACTAGACACTTGGGGGAAAAACATCAAAGTTAGGCGAGCCAGCATGTCGTCTTGAAAGGGAAATCATGTTTGGCAAATCTATTGGACATTTTTGAGAATGTTGGTTGTAATGTTGATTTAAGAAGAACTAATGGATGTGGTGCATTTGGAATTTTCAGAAGTCTTGATAAGGTTCCTCATAGGAGGTTAATAAGCACAATTGGTGTGCATGGGCTTGGAGGTAATTTACTAATCAGGTCTGAGAATTGATTAGCAGACTGAAAGCAGAGCAGGAATTAACATGTCTTTCTCAGGATGGCAAGCTGTTACCAGTGGCTTACTGCAAACGTCAGTGCTAGAGCCACAGTTGTTCAGTCTCAGTAAGTGATGTTGATGTGGGGACAAAATAAATGGGAAAGTAAGTTGTGAGGAGGATGCAAAGAGGCTTTGAGTGGTCTTTGTAATGACTGAACAAATGAATGTGCTGTCTGTACAAGGCCTTGGTAAGACCACACCTGGAGTATTATGTGCAGTTTTGATCTCCTTAACTGAGGAAGGATGTTCTGGTTATGGAGGGAGTTCAACAAAGGTTTACCATCCCATTATTTCTGGCATGGCAGGATTGATGTACAAAGCAAGACTGGATAGATTAGGACTATATTTACTAGAGTTTAGAAGAATGAGGGGTGATCTCACAGAACTCCATACAATTCCAAGAGGATCTGACAGGGTAAATACAATTAAGTATGTTCTAGCTGACCAGGGAGTCCAGACCAGGGGTCGCAGTCTAAAGATACAGAATAGGCCATTAAGGACTGAGATGACGAGAAATTTCTTCACCCAGAGAATGGTGAGCCTGTACACCTATTTGCCACAGAAAGCAGTTGAGGCCAAAGCATTGAAAGGTTTCAAGATGAAGTTAGACATACTTATTCAGGCTAAGGGATGTATAGGGAGAAAGTGGGAACAGGGTATGGAGTTCAATGTTCAGTCATGATTGTATCGAATGACGGAGCAGGCCCAAAGAAATGAATGGCCTACTCTTGCTCCTATTTTCTATATAATCAAAACCTCTACTCCACAAGGCATCCAAAAAGTGTAAATGTCCAAATGAATCATCAAGATGGTTAAATTTACTTTTACTGTTATCAGAACAAAAGAGAAACGCCAACCAGGTTTCATCAATAAACGCAAAAACTTATTTTGAAATAAACCTAGTCTTTAACAAGTAGCAAAAGAGATTATTAACTATTATTATGCATGCTATACGATGCTAATGTATGCTATACCACCTTTAAAGCCGAACCCAAACACATTCATACACAGACAGGACATGCAGTTCTGCAGAGTTAATATAGGTGGAAAACTAAGCAAATAGAACATCTTTGTGTATGAAGAATCCAAACCACAAGATGGAATGAGCTGACTTTCCCTGTTTTTGTTGGTTTCTGCAAACAAGTTCATGTTGCTGAAGTCAACAGAGTAATGGAAGATACTCAGTTTGGGCAGGTGGTCACTTAGATACACGTTTTTTAATGAGCAGTTCAGTTTTCAGAGTCTTTTTCTTGAGGTAAAAGACAATTTTGAGAGCGAGAGAGAACACTTTCCTTGCTAACTTCTCCACAATTGGAAGTTGTTTTCCTTTTCCAGGAGGCAAAGAGATTTGTGTTCCCCGCAGGCTTCTTGAAAGCCTCTCACCAATTGCACCATTCCCTGATTTGTGGCAAAACAAACTTAACAGTCCAAAAGCCATTGCTAGGCAACCTGTAGCGCAATGTGCCTTCCA